CATCTGTCTTCCACCTTATGTACCTCTCATTTCATCCACCAGGTGGTGATGCCAAGCTGCTAGTGATGCTCTGTGTCTCCCCGACGCAGCGCTTCATCACAGAGTCCCTGCAGTCTCTTGGTTTTGGCACGCGGGCACGGCAGGTACAGAAGGAGCCACCCCGAAGAAAAAATAATAGCCTCAAAGTTAAATAAGAAAGCAAAGGAAGATCTTTAACATAGATCCTTTATGAGTCATTACAACAGATAGAAGGGCGAGTGTTATAATAGGGGCACAACATTCACCCTTATATTCTAGCCTTAACTAGTATAAGAGTATTTTTGATTTTGCAGTTATTGGACGTTTGGTTACTTTGTGCTGGAAGCAGATCACATTTCACCCTTTCCAGAGTACCGTTTTCCTTACTAATAATTATGCAGGCATCTTTTAAGAAACATACATATTTATGCATTTACTTAGAATTTAATGTCTTAATGTTTTCTGAAACTACTGATTCTTAGGAATATTGTGTGCAATGACATTTTTGCAGTGCATGTGTAGTTCATGATATGCAAACTTAGTACATGTGAGAAGACTTTATTAGCACTTTATTAAATTGATTAAAGCTAAAATAGAAAACATGCCAACAGCAAACGGAACTGCACTATATATGGAAAAACAAAAGCTGTTTTAATCCTAAGGCATTCTGCTGTAAATTCATTTCAACGCTACCTTCCCCTGCTTTGCCTTCTCTTTTGTTTTGTTTTTCCATCCCAGCATTTATGTTTACACAGTATTTGTACATATTTTTGGTTACATATTAAAAATCTTTCTGAAGATTTGATGAAGTAGAAAAGTGTATCCGTATTAGAAATAAACAGCTGATATGCCTGTTCTTGTGTAATCAGTCTTAAGAATCCTATAAATAAAAAAAAGACAAATCATTTAAAGTTTATGACTCACGCTTTATATACAAATTACAGTGGGCTGTAGTTCCACTAAGCTCTCACTTCTGTGTAGATAACACGGGGGAATCCATGCACGTGCAGGTAGGGAGCTATAAAGTTATTAGCCCAATGCGACATAATGCATCAGTGTGATCCTAAAATACACACCCTAATGATTATTTGCATATGCAGTTTCAGGTCTTTTGACTCCAGTTTAATGCTGGGAAGAAAAATCACACAATTCCCTCTGAAGTGAACCAGTTGGACATCTTCCCAGCACGAATAGAATAACACACTGTATCTGGTAATTAAATCTCTTTTTCATCAGCTCCCCTTAGTTCCACACACTCGCACTTATTAATAAGGCTTCCTCCTACCAGCAGGCTGCAAACTGCGAAATGTTGTGATTCTCTAATCCATGCAGTCCCAGAGCTGGCATGCTATTGAGCAATGCATGTCATGTGCCACCCTGACAGGAAAACTGAAAGGCCCAAAGAGGTTTTTTTTTGTTTTTTTTTATCTTTTGTTTTGTCTTTTGAAAACAGCAGGCTTAGAGGACAAAGAGTGACAGAAGAAAACAAAACTATGACTTGAACAGAAGTGAGAAGATAATAAACAAGGAAACTACAGGAGTGTTTAGGGAGATGACAGAGGAGAGGAAATGTGAAAATGAGCTGAGAGAGAAACGGGAATGAAGGAACGTAAGAGTGTGAAAGCACATGTAACTGAACTTTTACTTCAACCTTCACTCTTTATCTGCGCTATTATGTTTCTAACAGGATGACTTTTTGTACAGCATTCACAGCGTGGATCATCTGTCGAAATTCTCGTTTACACAGATTACCTGGAAACAGATTGATAGGTAAGAATGTGTATTTCCCAGCCGGTTGGTTAGTGTTTGTTGGAGGTGGCAGGGAGTCACTGCGAAACATGTTGCTAAAGCCCCAGTCATGCAGATCTACAGACTGGTCAGTGACCCTCCCTAACAACCACAATCTGCTAGGAAAAAATATTGGTTAGTGGTTGCTTGCAGTCGCTTGGTGAAATTGGTTGCAAAAAAAACTCGTTCTGAGTGCTTTGGTCTCTCGGCAGATTATGGTGAGCCAGGAAAGCCAAATATCACCAAATATCTCCTCAAACCCATCTGTTGGCTCAGCTGGCTTGCTGGCAATCAAGTTTAGCAATCAGCCTTTTCATTTGGTTCATGTCAGCTGGAAATATTTCCTTCAATTCCCCCCAAACACTGGAAATACCTTACAATTTCCCAAATTAAATTTGAGTTGGCTCTTTTTTCTTAATGAACAGATATTTGTAGGTTTTTCCACTATATTTAAGTATTTAATTCATGTCATAATTATAAAAGCAAAATTGCACCAGCTTAATGAAAGGAGCAACTCGTCTCTAAAAGCGACTGGTTCGAGGTTTGAGGTCTTG